AGTAAGTAACTAAGCTACTAAGTTACTTTTTTTTTTTTTACAAAGTAACTACTAACTTTAACTAGTCACTATTTTTCAGTAACTCGCACAACACTGGTGGTGCGAGGTTATATAGAGAACTTCTACTTGTCAATATGTCATGTAAAAGTGATTGTCAGAGGCACAAATTATCCTATTAAGGGGTAAATTAGAAATGTAAAATAAAATTCATTTACCTGCTGATCAGGTATCAGCGCCAGTGTTTGGAGCCTTTTTGTCCTGTGGTTCGTAATTCCCCCATTAACATGCCAGTAGTGGTTTTGATTCGGTTTTATCAGCAGAACAGCCGTCTTTTTTCCAGCTTTGAGGCCGGCAGTTTGGTACTGGGTATTGTACTGTCTCAATTCTACTCTCAGAAGCCTGGGTCACTAGGACAGTCATGCCCCTGAGTGCATTTTCAATAAATACACATTTCGAGGAAGACCTTGAGGGGGGAAGTGATTATGTTGGGACAGCAAACATCAATCCTGGACCAGTCCCCACTTGGAGAGAAGATGATGTTCCTCCATGGTGTTTGACCCAATGACTGACTACATGTTATCGCCACCAACTGTTCTGGTGCTCTAATGTGGGTGTTTTTAACCATTTCGGCAGACAAAGAGAAACGTTGATGATCACCTCTGGTTTATACAATGGTTTCTTGAAAATGGAGGGAAAAAAATCAGTCTTCAAATTTCTACATACGTGTGGAAGGAGCCCAGTTATCACAATTTTGATGAAGTTTTGCCTACCATCTTAGCAGGCCTCAAAAACATGAAGAAAAGAAGGCAATAAATAAAATATCATAGTGGTACATTTTTAATGAGATGATGACAAAGGGTTTTGTTATAGAGTTATTGGCAGTGACATGGGACACGACACGCTTGCTGAGTCACAATCCCCCTCAAATCCCCAAATAAATCTAATTCATATTTTAGTAAACTATTTATCAATCAGATCTACATAAAACATTATTTTCTTCAAGTGATGTGATGTCTGCCATGATTTTTATTAGTTAAACAGATAGAAATGAGCAATAATGGCTTCTCTAATTCTTTCTTGCAAGCTCAAGGCAAGAGTAGTTATGTTTGTTTTTATGAGATCAGTAGTTGTTAAATTCTCCTTGCATGGATTTCAACTTCATTTATTTTCCTAAGAATCCCGGCTCAGTGTTGTGAACAAACACATCTGTCAATTAAGGGATAACAACAAAAAGCCCAGGGCCAAGGATTTTACAAAGGAGCGTGAATCCTTCCTGTGTACGACAGTACTTTACTCCATGTGTACAGATTTGTCATTAAATGCTTTGGAATAGAGGCGCAGTGTTTCATCTGGTGAAAAAATGTTGTTTGTAAGTGGCTTTTGAGAACCAACCCCATTCAGGAGAATCTGGAATATAAGTGGTATCAAAATAGGAAGAGTGTTGCTGCAACATGTCCTCACACTGAACAAGTCCTATTGCCTCAACCACTGTTTAGGACCATAAAATGAATAAATAAAGATAGAATATATACATAAAGTCTAAACTGCAATACTCTAGAATAAAATGGAGTGGGGACCAGAGAGTGAATTGTTAATCATGTTCTCCAGAAGGCATGTTTGTGTCATGTACAGGTGCTGCAGCAAAATGAGTTTGGAGCAGAAATGAAAGTAAAGTCAGAGTGTACTGGAGTTGTTTTTATTTGGTGCTTGCCCAGGTATGAAATCCTCCAGGGCTCCTTTTTGGCATCCTGAGCTGCAGCCCAACAGTATGGGACCAGTATGTTTGCCTGCCAGAAACACAGTCCTCTAGCATGCCAAGTGTATTTCATGCTCCAGGAGCTGTAGTTTGGCCCCACAGGCCTGCTGAAGCTGCTTGTTATTCTAAGTGGCTATGGGTAACAGTTGTTTCTGTCTGGCCCCGGTTCAGAAACACTATCAGATTAGAGACACCGAAAGAGAGATGAGTACACCTGGAAAACAAACACCGTCCTGCCTGTTTGGAAGATTAAACCCACCTGTCTCACAGCGACCGTGTTTTACACAGGGGGCTTTAGGTTGCAGGTTTACTTTTCTTTCTACTCAAAAAATAAATCAAAGCCAGACTAACTTTAAAGAGCGATGCTGGAATGTGAAAAAGCACAAAACTCAAATCCTTACAGGTTGCAAGAGTTTGCTCTCTCCAAGAAGGGTGGGAATAAATAAATGTGGATTGGATAAAGATACCCATGGAGAGACCTGTTTCACTTTAACAACTGATTGCATCTGTCTTCCTTGCTAGTGGCAAGTATGTAAACCATACTATATTCCTACAGGGTTGAATTTAATAGATCCAAACACTCATATTCCCTACCTTAGCTTTTTATTTGTCGGTCTTGGTTTTGGACCTCAATGTCAGAGGCAAGCTTTTCATTGAACCCTCCATCACTCTCTTTCCCCAGCCCTCACAGAGTGAACTACTTCACCAGCATCTTGACCCTGGAAAACAGGATTGTTGATTATCAACCCATTAGCTCTTTAAGTCCATTAGCAGAATATTCTATAAGGTAATTCAAAGCGCAACACAAACTGAAGTGGGCTGAAATAAAGAGCGTTCCTTTTAAAAATGGAATTAAAAAACTTTCTATCAGCCCAGGGCTATTTTTTTCCATGAGGGATTTTTGCCCAGAGACATGCTTGGATGATTTGAAGAGGCTGCTGTAGTTCTGAACTTTAATTAAACTGACAGAATTAGCAATTAGAGGCCTCAATGGCTGATTCACCAAGGTGCAGCAATTTGAAAATTATCTCCACAGAGCTCAGATATGATGCCACTGGTGGTTAGACTATGTAAAAATCAAAGTACTACATAGAGGTATTAGATTGGAAGTGTTTTATGAATATAAAACTATATAATAAAAGATAGTGAGTCCAGCCCTCCAAACAAAAACAAAAAAAAAACTTATTTCATAGGAAAGTCACCACCTTAATGTTGGATTTTAGTGTCCATTTTTGCCCAGAGGAGCTCTGAAACACACAAAGACCTCATAAATGTTTTATTTTTTATTATTATTTTTTTTTTATTAGAAGATATGTTTCATGTAAAGCAGAAACACAAATCAAATTTCAGAGTGGTTCTCAATAACACTGCAGAGAAAATGTAACGTTAATGACCGCAGCAGAGCAGGGAATCATTTCGCATTAGTGCATTTGAGACTGTACATCTGAGTGCCTGTGGCAATAGCTCTGTGCTCTGACAAACAGGTGAAATTGGAGTGAAATGACTGCAGGAGGAAGGGAACCAGTCTTAACAGCAATGCATCATTGTCACATTATTGGAGCAGTGTATCTGGTGTTATTACAGTGAGCAAATGCCAGAGATGATTGGTAGTCTCCATATAGTGTGTCTGTCACTGCTCATGTGCCTTTTTATGAGGACATTTTACATTAGGCCTCTGCTTTATGTCACAGCAAAGGCGCTGCAACTTAACTCCTTTTTCTTAAAGGCTTCCTCTCTTCATGCAGACAGAGGTTTTGAAAAAGAAAACCACAACAGAGTTTATTTTACATTGCCCCCCCCCCCAAAAAAAAAAAAAAAACAAACAAAAAAGAAAAAAACTTAGTACTTGCTTAGTTTCCATGACTGTCTTTGCTAGTGAAATGTAAAAGATGTAAAAGTCATTCATACATAGTGAAGTCAGCCCAGTTTGAACCTGACCCCAAAGAAAAACCCTTCTTAAAGTTCAGAATAGAATAGAATAGAATATTCCTTTATTGATCCCCCATGGGGGAATTTTTTTTGGTCACAGCAGCATCACAGACAAAGTGCAAAAATGCAGTTATAAAAATAAAGATCGTGGTATATTAAGAACTTAAATAAATGTTCTAATTAGGAAAAAAATTGGAAAAGGAAAAAGGGAGAAGAAAAAAAAAACTAATAATTACAGATTTAAAACAAAGTTTCTCACTTGCTCAATCTGGAAGTGTGGCTCTTGGTGGTTTAGTCCAGTTTATTGTCGCCGGTTGAAAAAGTTACGCTGCATTATCGTTATGGCTGAGATTGAAAGATTAAAAGATTGATGTGTCTAATTGTCACATGTTGACTCATACCCATCTTTCTTTAATACACACAATGACTGACAAATGAGGATGAGGTGACTTGTGTTTAGAGAATGTGGAAATGTGAATTAAATCTGAGTTTGGTACTGACAGATATATTTTTCCTAAGATACATTTTTCAAGATTTCCCAAGGCAATGCTACCTTTCTGTATTATTTTAACAGTACTGCATATATTAGGAAAGAAGGAACAGGCTTTAAAGAACAGAAAGAAATGTCCTTCCCTGAGTTTTACACAAGGTCACTTGATACATTCGTTCCATTTTCCTTGACGGACAACTTTGTAGGTCACTCCACAAATGTAAATATATACAGCTATATGAATACTAATGTACATTACTGTAATATGTTTCATACGTACACTACAGGCCAAAAGATTGGAAGCAAGATCAGATCTGTACAAAAAAAGGATCATAGTTTCATATATATAATTTGCAACACAATAAACATGACTATTGTGTAAAGAGTAACTTATCAGAAGACATTTTGACTATAATTATTAGGTATTTGAGTTATTGTTACTTAGACTTTGCTTTCTTTAAAGTTACCTCCTCTGGCTTTAACAACAGCTTGGCATATACCAGGCATTCGTTCCACAAGTTTTTTAAGGTATGTTCCAGGGATTGCATTCCAAGCTTTCTTAAGTTCATTAAAAAGAGACTGCTGATTCGTGGGACGCGTTTTTCTGACTGATCGATCCAATTCATCTCGCACAAGCTCAATTGGAGAAAGGTCTGGAGACTGAGGGGGCCAAACCATCTTTTGAAGAACACCTTCCTCTTCTTTTTTGTCTAGGTAACCCTGACAGAGCTTGGCAGAGTGCTTAGGGTCATTGTCTCGCTGCAAAACAAACTTGTGAGCCACAAGTCTGAGTCCAGATGGAACAGCAGGGTGCTGGAGGATGGAGTGGTACTGTTCCTTCTTCATGATACCCTTTACTTCAAACAAATCTCCTACTCCATCACCTGCTAAACATCCCCATACCATGGAACTACCACCTCCATGCTGAATTATGGGTGTAACACATGGTGCTTTCAGACGTTCACCAGTTTGACTGCAGACATAGACTCTGTATTTTGAACCAAACAGTTCAAACTTGTTTCTAGTCATCATAAGTCCAATTTTTGTGAGCTTTTGCCCACTCATATCTCTTTTTCTTGTTCTGTGGACGAAGTAGTGTTTTTTTGTAGATACACAACCCTTCAGAACCCTTCAAACTGCAAAAGATAGGAAGCAATTATTTGTCCTCCTTCAAGGTGTCATTAAAGAAATGGTGAAAACAGTACTTATTAATCGGGTATAACTTTTTTGTTCAAATTTGACAACAATCTTTTGAAACAGTGCAGTTTTCCAGAAGAAATTTGTGAAGATTTGATGAGGTTTATAACTTAGTTGTCCTTTTGTAACTGCATTATCATTTTTGTAATACTTAGGGAATTTGTTTGTTGTGTTTAAAGCACTCTGTAAATGTGTGTTGGGAGAAAGGCAGATTAGATATTTCACTGTGGTATAGCTGGAGTTTACTGAGTCAACCATTCATCCACTTTACGTATACTCAGTTTATTGTTAAGACTGAAACTGCTCTTCCCCAGCACTCTCTGATCCTTATGCCGCTCCCTCACCTTTGTTCCTTTGTAGATACAGCATGCACAGCTGAGCTGCCTCTATGTGAGCGGGGAAACACATGAGCAGGACTGTAACAAATGTGTACATATATGATCTTGTGACACATGTGAACTTCGTATTTACATCACACACACAGGCATAGATGACAAAGAGTGTGTTTCTGTGAATTAAAAAAAATGCTTTTAAGTGTGGCTGCAGTTGCTGCTTTGGGCTTGGCTTCAAACAGAATGGAGATTCAAACGGGTGGATCATGGATGAGGGATGGACTTTTCCTGGGATGAAAGCGGGAAGGTATATAACAGACGCTTCCTGCACATTCTGAACACATTGCTGTATTTTTGTGTGGACTGAAACAAAAGCTCTGTACTGTGCGTCAGTAGACCAACAGTCTTTTGAAACAGTGCAGTTTTCCAGAAGAAATTTGTGAAGAATGTCAGTATTTGTCCTTGGCTGTCTCTCATCATCCCTGCTTGTTTCCCACTTTTAACTTGTTCTTTCTCCCGTCCTTTACCTCCCTGAGGGTCCGCTCCACCTTCAGGTATCTTCTCTGTCACTCCATCATCTATCAATCCATATATAGTAAGTTTTGCTACCTTTGTAGAAAATCATTAAACCGGTGCTGATGAAACTACTTTCCAACTGATTGTATTTATATTACTCCTAATTAATGATATTCAAATAAATATTTCTGGGTTAGAGGAAATGTTGGTGGTGAAAACAACACTATCTTTGCTCAGAAAATGGAATTTGATCTCTAAAAATGGCTGAAATGATAAGGAGGGAAGACAAAAATGGACTGGACTGGCTTTGAGTTATTTGAAGATGTAAAAAGCATGTGGACTGTGTCCTTGCCACAGACAATATTCCAGTCAATGCTCCTGTGTGCCCTCTTCATCTGAAGTCCAAGATCATTGACAAGCAGTCTTTTGAAAGAGAACAAGACAAATTTCAGCATAATTCATTTGCAAGTCAACTTTTCAGAGCAAGGATAAATGTAGGGAGCAGAACAGATTTTGAAGGAAAGCAAGGTCAGAATAAATACCAGAGCTGAATACAAGCTTTAAGCCTGGGTAAGGAAAAGCGCTCCTACGTCTATTCAGCTTCAGCTATACAGGGGAGAGTTCTCTTATTAAAGCGTGATGAACTGTGAACTTTCTGTTCAACCAATACTTTCATACTTGTACTTGTTCTATGGTTTTCATAAAATGCAAAAACTCAAATCATAGCAAGTGTATCAGCGTATCATTCGTTCATTCCATATCCGTTTGTATCGTTCGTTCATTCCATATCCGTTTTAGAATCCAGAATCGGAAAACGGATAGCGACTTATTATTTCATTTCTCGTTTTCAAATCAAAAATTGGAAAACAAATAACGGTCTATTTTTTGCTGTTTTGATCTTATTTTGAAATTAAAAATCGAATATGAGAGAATGGAATTATCATGGGGTTTTTGTTCTATTCATTTTGGTTTGTATCATTTTCGATGTGTTGCGACCCGGAAGTTGTTGACTTTTTTCTCAGGGAGGCCAGTCTTTAACCGCGCGGATCTTGAAACCTGTTCACAGAGATAGAGAAGGCGATATTAGACCACTATGGCCGCACTAGAACAATACGTTATTGTGACGTAATTGTTATTAAGCAGTTGTTCGAAGCTGGTAAGACCCACACAGACATTTCGGAGATGTTGCGAAAGATGGGTGTCTGGAGATGCTCTGCAATGAGTGTTAGATGTTGCTGTAGCCAACACAACCTCAGGCGGAAACGTCATGTTACTGATGCAGAACTGGAGAGGGCTGTGGTCAGTTCAATATAAGAGGTAGGAAAAAAAAGTCAACAACTCCCGGGTCACAACACATCGAAAATGATACAAACCAAAAACGAATAGAACGAAAATCCCATGATAATTCCGTTCTCTCATATTCTATTTTTAATTTCAAAACAAAATCAAAACTGCGAAAAATAGGCCGTTATTTGTTTTCTGATTTTTGATTTGAAAACGAGAAATGAAATAACAAGTCGTTATCCGTTTTCCGATTTCGGATATGGAATGAACGAATGATACACTGATACAAGTGTTTTGGTCTAACTTGCTGTAAAGAAAGATGTTATATTCAACTTAATTTCTGCTACATTCAGCTGAGAAGTCCAGTAAAAATATACATATCTTGGAACCATATTTGCCAAAAATAAGTGCATTATTTCAAGAAACTTAAAAACCTGCTGATATAATTTTTTCACGGTGTGCTATACAAAAGGTAGTATTAAGCTGAACAGACTTGATGACATGAAATGTAATGATAAAAAAGTATGTTTAAATTTGTGCACAATCACATGAAAATATATTAATTGTTTTTGTTTATCTAAGATAAGGTTTTTGGCTTTTTGTCTTCATGGATCCTGGAGGTTACTTTCTTGCACTTAGATTCCACCAAAATCCAGAATGGACAAACCAGTGACATTAGTGATTTATGAATTTAATAAGTACCTGAGCAAAATGCACCAGTCTGAAAACTAAGGAAAAGCAAGTGTGTGCAGACTGTAAAACACTTCAAGCTAGTTTAACCTACAAATGCAAGTTCCCCTGCTGCCTAAAAAATGCAAGTTAAGTCAATAAAAAGACTTGCTGTGTTTCAAGTTAGTTCATTATTAACATTACAAGTTATACAAGTTATGACTCATGATTAACTTTTGAAACCTTGTTGTTTCAACTTAATATTTCAAGTTAAAGCTATGGTGCATAACTTCCGTTGCCCCCTAGAGGATTTCTGCATTATCACAACGATATGACCATCACCTCAATATGACATATGCTCATCACACACAGTAACAGTCACCAGACACAGCAAACTGTTCATCATGGTACACAAAGAAAACGGAGAAACACTCACGTCACACCACATGCTGCTGGTCACGGACCACGGTACACAGACTATAACTGACCACACAACATGTTCTTCTCGTCGCGGTACACAGAGTAACACTCTGCAGCTCACCACATACTGCTCGTCACAGTACATGGACCGTAACTGTCTACACAACATGTAGTCTACTAAAGTTACTCGTCACAGCACACACACTCCCAGCATTGAGTTACACACATCAATACGGGCTACACACATAATAACTTACTGCTCATTAGGCTAATGTTACACAATGTGGCGAACACAACGCTGCAAACAATACATTACATTCATAGCACCATTTCCAAGAAAATAATAAAGTACATGTACCAGTACACGTAACAGCATGCTCATATCAAGGCAACAGTCCAATCTCCTCCTTCAGGACTCTTCACCGAGGCAAATTCACGTTAGTCATCTCCATTTGTCACTCTCTTTCTTCACCAACAGACCTTCCTCCCCATCGAGAAACCTTTTTTACCTCTGCCAAGGAGGTTATGTTTTCGGTAGCGTTGGTTTGTTGGTTGGTTGGTTTGTTTGTTTGTCTGTTAACAACTTTATGGAGAAAGTTACAGACGGATTGACCTGAAATTTTCACCAGAGGTGCATCTCAGCCCCAGGAGGATACCATTATATTTTGGTGGTGATACGGATCACCTTCTGGATCCAGGAATTTTTTGAAGGATTCTTTATCATTGTGAGATAGGGCAAATTTTGGAGTTTTTGCATTTAACTCTATAAAAATGGCCAGAGTCTTTAGTAAAAAATAACACAAAAGGATCTCAGGGAGTTTTATGAGGTGTCAAAGGTTGATCCTGATCCAGACAAAATTCTGGATACTGTGATCCAGAACACACAAAAACAAGGGTGTCATTGGAATTTTCAGTGCTGAAAGATAACCAATGGGCGGCACAGTGGTGGAGATAGGCGGCACAGTGGTGTAGTGGTTAGCACTGTCACCTCACAGCAAGAAGGTCCTGGGTTTGAATCCTGCTCAGGCCATTTTTTGTTTAAGGAACATTATGAACAGTGAACATATCAGTTTAAACACAAATAAAGTTAATAAAAAACACGTAACAGTAAAAGTTTTGCTGTGAATCACAATATAAGGGGGGACATTAGCTGCTTGGGGGAGGTCTGCGTTCTCCGAGTGCTTTTCTAGTTTTTGAAGTATATCAATCTCATCTGTACAAAAGAGGATTAGGGCAACTGGAAAAAAAAACAGTCCAATATATTTTTTTTAAATTATCATTCTGAGATTTAAGTCCAAATTCTGAGTTTAAAATAGGAATTCTGAGGAAAAAAGTCAGAATTCTGACTTCAATCTCAGAATTCTGATCTTTTTTATAGAATTCTGACTTTAATCTCAGAATAATACTAAAAAAAATTATATCAGACTTTTTTTTCAGTGGCCCTTATCCTCTTCCGTATATCTGTCTTTAAGCAATATACTGACTAAACCCTCTTATTGACAAGTTGAAGAATGGTACTGCCCAGATACATAACTGTCACCTTAAAGTCTTTTTAAAAATATTTGTGTTAAAAAAAAGAACAATGTTAATAGCATCATCAGTCAGTGACTTGAATATGCAAGTTGCCTCTGAAAAGTTTTTAAATGATGTTTCACCTATCTAGATTTAAGCATCATGAGCTGACTCACCATGTTTCGAGTGCTGAATGGCAGTAAGAGATAGGTGCTCAGAATAATACTCAGAATTCCTTTAAGGTGACTCCAGGTAAGCAGCCCATCAGTCAAGTGTGTGATGCTCAATACCAAGGTAGAGCATGGTAATAAAAGTGGGAAAGGTCTGACATTGCTGTGCTGTGTCAGAGTGCCCCTCACCCCCAAGTTATATGGGACTCAGGTTGGTTTTCACTCTCAAACTTTAGCTCTCCATTTCCTGTGACCAGAAAAGTCAACACATCCAACACTTCATGATTAATTTTTCCTAAATAAGGTATACCTGTCACTTTTAATTGTGTTCAGTGTAGATAACAATGTTTTTGGATGGATGGTTTTTGCAAGTAATTTGTTGTTGAACTGGGAGGTCGTACTGCACCAACACCATCAAGGAGTTCTGGCAGAACGTGTTTGGAATAAAACAAGTAAGTGAACTGACAGCATGTGCCTGACAATAATGAGCACCACCAGCTGAAGAGGAAAAATGCTCTGATGCCTTTTCTAACAGCAGCTGACAGTGAGTCTCAGAGCTGACCACATGGCCCTTGCATCAGTGGATCCACTGCCAGGATTTGTGCTTAAGTGTTTTCTCTGACAACTTAAAGGCGTCCCCAACACACCATGTTTGACTTAACATTTAGGTTTCCTGTTCTGCCTCTAAGCCAGTGACACACTTCTGGGAATTCTACTTTTGGATAGCCATTATGTGAAATATGATTCAGGATGCTTACACTTACACCATGATCATGTAAAACCACAACAGGGATAGGTTTGCATTCATGGTCTCCCAAAATACCTCCTGAGTGTGGTCAGATGTGTTACATCACACTCAAAGCACCACCTTCTGATCTTCTGCTGCCGTTTGCATACAACAAACCAAATGAAAAATAAAAACTCTTAAGATCATGAATACCTTTGATAATGATAAATTGCTGAATTGCAATACACAATCATGATAAACTGCATTTTTGACAGCGTGTCTTTAACTCCATCACTTTGCATTTCATAAAACACACAATGTACATCTTACTTTTGACT